GTGTCAATCTAGAAGAAATTAAATTAGACATTTAGATTTAGTCCAAGAATTCTGAATGAATTAGGTACTACATAGAAAAAAAAAATAAGGTTTTTTTTTTTTTTTGATAGGACAGAATAAATTAATCTTGGTTGTTCTGGAGATGAAGTATGTCAATATTTATTAGTATACATTGTTGCCATAAAACAGCATATCCTGGTGATGACTCACCCAAAAATGCCATTCTCTGACATATTTTGGCTTTTATGACTATTTGAAGAGACCAAAGTTATTTGAAAAATAGCAGTGATGTTACTGAATCGTTTTTCACTGCATTTAAGCTATATAACAACTTACATAGATATCAGTCATTCAGTTGAATAGCCTTATATAAATTTTCAGGCCCAAATGTTTTTCTCCCAACCAGCAGGTCTACTTGTGTTTCTTCCCAGTCATCTTTTCACATGAAAAGCACATGTTTTCCAGAACAAGTTTACTTGTTTTGGACTTCATATATTTGGAATTGTTTTGAATCCAGATACAACCGCTTTTGTGTGTGGCTTCTTTATTTAATAGAAGATATTTAAAATTTATTCATGTTGGGTATAGCATTAGTTCAGTATTATTTTGTTGCTATGTGCTATTTCATTTTGTATCTCCAGTACACAATTTTCCTGCTAATGTTTGAATTATCTTTACTTTTGGACTATTATGAATAAAACTTTTATAACAGATTTAAGGCATTGGGCCTGTGCCTTCATGTTTCTAAGTTGTATAACTAGCAGACAATTGCTGGCATAATTTACCTTTAATAGAAAGTAAATTTAACAGTTTCCAAAGTTATTGTAGTTTTCACTTTCACCAACAATGCAGGCATTCTAATTTCTGTAATTAGTCTCATAAATATTTGACATTGTCAATCTTAATGTCATATCAGTTTTAATGGATGTGAAGTGACACATTATTGGTTATCAATTTAAATTTCTCTGATAACTGATGAGGACAATTACATAAACTTACTGAACATTTCTATATATTCTCTTATAATGTGTCTGCTTAAGATTTTTGGCTATAAAAATTGGATTGTTTTCATTTTTGTTTATTTGTAGCATTTTTTTAATGCATGTATTTGATACATGCCAATTTAAAGAAGTATTTTATTCTTAATATCAGCATGTATTTTCTGTAATACAAAATTTCTGTTTTATTTAGTTCATCTGTTTTCTCTGTATATCACAATGAATGAAATCATAACAGGGTTTTTCTTTGTCTGGCTTATAGCACTAAGCACAGCACCCTCTACATTCATTCACATTGTTTAAAATTGGTCAGATTTCATCTTTTTTTAAAATTCATAAATGGCATTCCATTGTGTATATAGAACTCACATTCCTCACCTATACATTAATTGATGGGACTTCTTAGTCTCATTTTTAGACATCGTAATAATGCTACAGTGAACGTGGGAATATATATGTATCTTTGAATTAATGTTTTTGTAATTTTTATACAAATATCCATAATTGATATCCAATTTTTATAGCCAAAAATCTTAAGTAGACACATTACAAGAGAATATATAGAAATGTCCAATAAGTTTATGTAATTGTATTCATCATTAGTCGTCGGAGAAATTTAAATTGCTACCACAATTTCTTTTTTTTTTTTTTTTTTTTAAAGATTTATTTATTTATTCATACAGAACTGGGGTATAGGCCAGGGTGAGAGGATTCATCAGGGACAGAGTGGGGAGCAGAACAGGCAGATTTATGAAGTACACTGCTGAGGAGAACAGTGGGTGGGTCAGGAGAGGTCTGTCACGCCATGTGGATCTCCTCCAGGGCAGGCGGGGATGGAACTGGCTTAAGCTTCTTAGTGCAGTGCTTTAACCCTCTGCGCCATCAGAGAGGGCCCCAATTTCTATTTTTAACTTTTGGAGCACCCTTTATCCTGATTTCCATAGTAACTGCACCAACTTAAATTCTCAGCTGTGGAATATAAGTTTTCTCTTCTCTTCACATCCTCTTCAACATTTATTCTTTCTTGTCTTTGGATAATTGCCATTCTCATAGGCGTGAAGTTTGTGTTTCTCTAGTAAAGAGAGGAGAGGTGTCTCTTCATGTGCTATTGGTCATGGTTATGCTTTCTTTTGAGAAATCTCTATTCAGCTCCTCTACCCGTTTATTGATTAAATTGTTAGAAATTTTATTAATTGAATTGTTTTATTGTGTTCTATTAGTTATTTGAATAATTTGTATATAAAGCCCTGGTTGGACATAGGATGTGCAAATGTCTTCTCCCATTCGTTAGGGTCTTTTTGTTCTGATGTTTTGCCTGTGCAGAAGATTTGTAATTTGATCTAGTCCCATTGTATATTTTTACTTCTGTTTCATTTGTCATTGGACTCCAGACCCTAAATACATTTGAAGGCTGATATCAACTATAATACACTGTATTTTCCTTCTGTTTATTTATTTTTTTTTACTAGAGATATGTTGGCCTACTTCTAAAAGTTGGGAAGGATTCACTTTGTCTTCATTTAACGAATGAGTATTAATTAGTAGTATTGATTAGTAGTATTTTTCTAGACTTAGAATTTTCTTTGTGGAAAAATTTTGTTAAAATTCAATTTCTTTAATATATCATTAGAATAGTTTTAGTAAGAATTGTAGGCATTGCTTTGTTAATTTCATTTGTCTGCTGGTTTTTCTTTTTGACTTTTTCAGCTGTAGTGACCTCCCTGTTTCAATATTCAGTTAGGGATATTTTATGTTTTCATCTTATTTCTTGATTATTCTAACTAGAATTTGTTAATGTATTCATTTGTTCAGAGAAGTGTGTGTGTGTGATGAATATTTTCTTTTATGGATTAGTTTCTTATACTTTCTGTGCCTTCTTAAATAATCAGGCATAGATTCTGATTATTCATTTTTCTTTTTTTCCCTAATATTTGCTTTTAAATCAAAGCTTCATATGCACAGATACAACTGCATTATAGCATTTTCATTTAAAAAATATTATCAGTTTGGATATTTTAAAATGTCCCCTCTGATTTCTTTTCTTTTTAAAGTATGTTGCTTAATTTCCAGGTATTTTGGAAATTTATTCTTTTTCTTTTCTAATTGAATGTCAAATAGGTCACAGGCATAATCTGTAATTTAACTTCTTTGGAATTTGAGGCTTATTTTTCCCATGTGATGTGTTTTGGTGACTATTCAAAATGTATTACAAAGGGATATATATCCTGCCATTGTTATGTAGAATTTCTGTAAAGGTTAAGGAGAAAAAGTTGGTTGGTAGTGTTTTTCAAACCTTTTGTTTTACCATTATTAGATTTAATGTCTAATTCAAATGAAAATTGGATATTAAAATTTTATATAATAATGAGAATTGGCCTTTTTTTATGTTTTGCTTTGTGTTTCCTTTACCTTTATTTTTAGACGCTTACCTATGTAGGGTTTTTATATCCTTCTGGTCTGTTTTTGATTTTATTATTAAAAATTTCATTCTAATTTCTTTTTGTTGTCTTATGTATGTAATACATCCTTTATCTATGCCTAATTTAAAGAATTTTATTTTGTTTTTCAACTTTTTTGAGTGTAAAACACCTGGGTATGACTACTTTTTATCTTCTTGGGGTTTGTTGAACATCTTTGACTTCATTATTGAGGACATTTTTCTATTTGTATAAATATTGGTCATTTTCTTGTTAAGTATTTTTCTATTTTCTTTATGAAAATTTAACTACTTTTATGTGAATTCAAGATCATTTTATATTGTCGCACAGACTTCTCATGATTTGTTTCTGTTAATTCATGGTCAGATGTATTGATCTTTTCCTCTCATGTGTAAAGATAAGACCAACTGTATAACAATTTTTTTAAAAAAGATTTATTTTCTTTATTTATGCATGCAAGAACTGGGGTATAGGACCAAGGTGTGGGGATTTGGTGAAAGAATTCACCAGAGAGAGAGTGGGGAGCAAAACAGTTGGATCTACTGAAATACACTGCTTAGGGGAGCAGTGGGAAATGTGCCATGTGGGTAAGGACCCTGACCAAAGATAGAGTTCTTTAAATTCTCTCTTCTCTACTGGGTGTGAAAAAAGACTGTGGTTTGTGATTTATAGTTTTCATCCTTGGGAGTGATAGCTTCTTACAATTTACCACATACTAACCAGAAAGATAGAACTAAGGATAATTTAACAGACACTAAGTCCAGTAACTTGAGTATTTATAAATCAGCTAAAATAGACTTTAGTATCTATAGTTACACATTTTTGAAAAAATTATGTCCTATAACTTGATTTTGTCATATAAACATTTTACCTGAAACTGATCAAGTATTCTTAAAGGTAAGTTATATTTATGGGAAGGTTTACAACACATTATTAAAAATAATGAGATAATATTCAAAGGATTGCTAAAAGGAAGTCTAGTAAATATTTTGAGCAAAATTCAATATTTTAGAAAAGTTATACTCTTTCAAGAAAGTAATAATTACAAGATTATCCAGAGTCATTTTCATCTCTAATTCATTGCTCTGATTCATTAGAATATATAAAATATGGGGCTTTAAAATTTAACTTGCTTTAATTGAGGTAACATTAGTGTCTCCCTATCAGATATCATCCTTAGTACACTCAGCACCAAATCACCGATAATCCTCAACATAGCTCATTTGTGCTTCTTTCTCTCTTTGTTCTTATGTCTCCCTTTAGTGCTCTCCCCACCTGGATATTTAAACATTCTGTAGTCAGCACTTACAGGTTACTTTTGAAGCTTGTCTGTCTAACCCTTAAAAGTTTCCCTGTATTTCACATAGTTGCTGTCTCTTATGTATTCCACATATTTGCAATTGAAGAGCCAGTTAAATTAGTTTTAAAGAGTGTCAAATTTCATGGTGCATTGGTACATTGTTTGGGTAATAACAAAATTTAATTATACAATGGCTTGGTATTTGTCTTATTTTTAAAATATATTTAAGATTTAAGTATCTTTTCTTTTCTTTTTTTCTTCTAGAAATCCTGAAACTGACATAGTAAACAAAAACAAAACATGGCTCACCTTATTACATTTCTTTGGATAGTTTTGGTCTTGCTGTTGCAACATTCTGTACTAGCCGAAGATGGGGAAATAAGATCAAGTAAGAGCTATCAGAATTGTCCATTTTTTGCAGTCCATAAATTGATCATGGAAATCAATTTAGGGGGGTTCAAGTAGTGGTCTTAAGGATCTTATTGTTTTTGGTGCTATACTTCTTAAATAAATGGTTATATTATGCATTAGCAGAGGAAAAGCTTCTATCTGAGATATTTGGAGAAAATGCTATGATAATTGTTTATTCTGTTTAACAGGTTTTGGAATAAATCATGAGATAAAAAATCCATTGTCCATCACTTATTAAATTCCTGATATATAGAAAAAGAAAGCATCTGCCTCACAGAATGGTTTTCAGGACCATCTTATTTGGTAATCTTCTAGAGATAGTCAGAAAACCCATGTAAATGAGATGATGCATAAATATGACTTAGCATAGTGACATTTATTAATAGGCAAATGGTTATTATTGCTCAGATTGCCTGTAAGAAAGCTGGTATTGGAGAACAGGTAGGTTAATTGTAGTTCTGCTACCTAGGCCACCCTTTACAGATATAATGCTTTTTAAAAACTTTATGCGTATCCACATTCATAACTAACAACAACAAATATCTGAATATACAATTAAATATGATTTTATAAGTGTATAGTCATTTGGTTTGAAAAGTTGATTTAATCAGACATAAAATTTATTAAAACAACAATATTAAACATTTTCACAACACTTTTTTAGTTTAATTTAACCAAGCTCTTATATGTTAGGTACTCTTTTCTGATTTTGTCAGTGGGAAATGAGACTTGCAAAAATAAGGGGCTTACCTGGTGTCATGTAGCTGTTTAGAGTTGCTGCTATATTTAAATTATTCTTTTGATCATCAATACATTCCTTGTGCCTGACACCGGTGATCTTGCTAAGGAGGAAGTCCCTTGGAGTGGTATTTTGTCTGGGGTTTATAAATGGCAATACTTGCTTTTGTTCCCATGCTCTTGGCTAACCTTGCAGTTATGAAATATATGAGCAATGACTCTAGAAAGTGGTTGGAAGAGCCAAGAATAACCCCAATGAGAGTTTATAACCACTAAATTGAGTGGCATACAAACACAAGCAGGTTCAGACAATACTGAGTCTCATAGTATTGAGGAAAGACAACACTTCAGAGTTCTGCAGCTACAACTTTCCTGTCTTTTCTTCTCCCGACAAAACCCCAGTAAAAGCCTAGTTCTGTAATCCCAGCCTTGTTTCCAAAAATAATAAAATAACAATTCCCTTGGTTAGAAATCTACCTCTGGGTATAATTCCTTTCTCCTGCCCCTGCCCTGAACCCTGGCCCTGGTTTCCTTGGCATGGGTCGTTGGAACATTGTCCCTAACCCATCTGCACTTTATGACCACCTGCTCTGTGACACCTCAGAAGTGATGTCATGATTAGCATTACAGTCTTGAGACAGATTTTTGTTGTGGGTAACTTCTTGAGTCTTATACTTGTTCACCTGACAATAGTGTTTACGTTTGCCAGTTACTATAATGAATGAGCTGAAATAACTTAAAAATTGAGAACTTTTCATGCAAACCTCATCAATTCCTCAGTTTTATATGAAAATAAAAATGAGAAAAGGAATAGAAGGGAAGGAGGGAATGAGAAAGGGAAGGGAAGAGAGTGAGGGAGAAATGGATTTACTGTTACAGAGATGCAAAAGAATGGTAAATTGTCACTAAACTCTTTTATAGTACCTTACCTTGTAATTATTATATATTATTTGCAACATGTACAGAAGATAAATCACCCTAATTATACCTTTAAAGTGGGTATCTAATCACAACTGAAGGGAGGCTGTTAATATGAATAAAAACACAATACTTAAATTTATTATCTTATTACCTTGCCTCATTTCATAGTCTTTCATCTCATCTCCAGGAGATGTGGGCTTTAAACAATAGTCATCTTACTGCTGTGACTGAACTTAACAAAGGAGAAGGCAGGGATCAAACAGACCCTGCTGCTGATCTATTTGCCATTTCAAACTTTTGGAAAGTAAAAACCAGTTTGTCTTTTGGTCTTTGTCAGTTCCTCACCTTTGAACTTTTGACTTGTTCTCTATGATTAAAATATCCTCCTCTTCATTTGGCTAACCCTCTCCTCTCAGATCTCAGATCACCTGTCAGTTTTCCAACAAAACCTTCTCTGACTTCCCATATTTGAGTTCTTCATCATTCTCATAATACTTTGTATTTTCACTAAGTAGTGAGTTGTATGCCTCAGTAAACACTGAGCTTTTTGAAATATGTATCTTAGAAACTAGTACATAGTATGGTATCAGGCACAGTTTAGGTATTCAACATATACAATGAGAGAATAAATCTGGTTAAAGAGTTGCCATGTACTATAGAAAAGTTACGATTTTTTTTTCTTTTTCTTTTTCTTTCCGTAGGTAGAATTAGTCTAGGTATCTTTGCACTAAAGATAGTCTTTTTCTTAATAACATAAAATATTGATGTGAGTGAATGATTGAAAATCATACATTCATTTTTTTCATTTATTCAATGGAGAACTAAAATAAAATGTTGCTTAATAGTATCATTGCAACTGCAAAGAGATGTTTGGATACCATATTCTTAGTATTTCTTGCTTTTAAATGAGTAAATAAAAGAAAAAAATCAACAAAAATAAAGCCCTCATTTATGGATAATTTTTAATGAGCAAGTCAGTGTGTCTTATATAATCCTTACAAAACTATCGTGAAATAATTACTGTTGTCCTTTTTAGTTTCAGCTTTATTGACACAACAAATTGTAAAATATTTAAAGTGTACATTGTGATGACTGAAAACCTTCCACTCTGTATATAACACATGTGCTCTGTGCTTTTCTTTTTTAACCCAGGTTGTCGTACTGCTCCAACAGACTTAGTTTTCATCTTAGATGGCTCTTACAGTGTTGGCCCAGAAAACTTTGAAATAGTGAAAAAGTGGCTTGTTAATATAACAAAAAACTTTGACATAGGACCAAAGTTTATACAGGTTGGAGTGGTCCAATATAGTGACTATCCTATACTGGAAATTCCCCTTGGAAGTCATGATTCTGCAGAGAGTTTGCTGGCAGCCATGGAATCTATTCACTACTTAGGAGGAAACACCAGAACCGGAAAGGCCATCCAGTTTGCACTTGATTACCTCTTTGCCAAATCCTCACGGTTTCTGACTAAGATAGCTGTGGTCCTCACAGATGGTAAATCTCAAGATGAAGTCAAGGAGGCAGCAGAAGCTGCAAGAGACAATAAAATAACATTATTTGCTATTGGCGTTGGTGCAGAAACAGAAGAAGCAGAGCTCAGGGCTATTGCCAACAAGCCTTCATCTACTTACGTGTTTTATGTGGAAGACTATATTGCAATATCCAAAATAAGGGAAGTGATGAAACAAAAGCTTTGTGAAGGTAAGTCTTAATGTAATTTAGAAACAAGCGTACTTTCTTACATTTTAATGTAACCTTTCTTTTACACTTTGTGTATATGTATACACTTATATGTATTTAATGCCAACTTATTTACAATGTTATAATTGAAGTAAGCACAAACTTTTGTATTATATTTAATTCATATAATTGAAAAGATCACTTTAAAATGAAGCCTGTAATTGGAAAATAATTATTTTTTTTATCTTTGTTGTTTTTTTTTCTCTTTCATTTACAGCATACTTATTGTGGGCATGATAAAAGTTGTAAGAATGAAAATGCATATCATATGATCATATAGTATTGTTAATGAGTTCTTTTTTATTTCAAAATTCAACAATTTAGGGTCTGAAGAGAAAAATGCCTCTCTTTCCAGCGATACATCTTATTTTATTTATATCAAACTTTAATTCCATTTCCAATACTCCATAGTACAAGTAGTGACTATACTTTTTATTGTATTATAAATATGATACCTTTACATTTCCATCATGTTATATCAAAGAGAGTGATTATCCTAAAATAAGTTTGGTAGAATTTGCTTTTAATTTGTTATGTTCTCTAAAATATAAGCTGTTGTTTCCAATGTGAAAGACCTTGGAAAAATCTGAAAATATTGTAGTATTTGTATAGTATAAAAGCCTACTAGGATTTCAACTTTATAAAAATTTGCATACCTAGTTTCTTAGAGAAATGTAAACAAATCATTTTTTTGTAGGTGATGATATAATGCAGACATTAATGACTGTTAGGAAATAGTCTTGTTTAAACATATTGTTAATATTATATAAATATAATTAAGCATAGATTATATAATAGAGGCATTTGAAAAACTTTCATTAGCAGAAAAGACCCAGAGTTAAGTTTTCCCAAAATGATAGAATCAAGGATATTTGAACTATAGAAAATAAAAACTGGCAAGAATACAAGAACAGTATAAATTTTTTTACACTCCAAATACTGGAAATGAAAGAAAGGAATCTTCGTTTCCATCTAAAGTTATTTAAGGTCATGTGATGAATTAGCAGCAAATCTTGAATGAGAATCATGAATCCTATTCCAGTGTTTTTCTATCTTCCCAGATATTAGGCAGCCTCATATTAGAAGTAGTGAATTATAAACTTTATACCAATGTTACCCTTAAAATAGTTCATTTACAAATGTTCCTCTTCTGTATATATGTTACTTTATCACCTCTTAGTGAAAAACAGACATTGAGGCTTGACATTCAAATGGCAGAAACAGCACTCCCACGTTTTCTTAGAAAATGCATTTTCATATATTTATATACATTTCTGTATGTACATAGATTTTATCATTCTTATATTCACAAATATTTACCCCTTGGTTTTTCATTCTTAAAATAAATAATGATTTATTGATATTTACTGCTTTTGTGATTCCTTTATAGAATCTGTCTGTCCAACAAGAATTCCAGTGGCAGCTCGTGATGAAAAGGGATTTGATGTTCTTTTAGGCTTGGGGGTTAAGAAAAAGGTTAAGAAAAGAATCCAGCTTTCACCAACAAAAATAAAAGGATATGAAGTAACATCAAGTGTTGATTTATCAGAATACACAAGGTAAATATTTTATGTTGTTTTATGGAGTTTTATGTCTAAAATACATTGAGAATAATTTAAGCTTACAAACGTTCTTTTTTTTTTTTTTCTAGCAATGTTTTCCCAGAAGGTCTTCCTCCTTCATATGTATTTGTCTCCACTCAAAGATTTAAGGTCAAGAAAGTTTGGGATTTGTGGAGAATTTTAACAATTGATGGAAGACCACAAATAGCAGTTACCTTGAATGGTGTGGATAAAACTTTACTATTTACAACAACCAGTATAATTAATGGCTCACAAATAGTCACTTTTGCTGATCCACGAGTTAAGGTAAAAAATACTTGGTTATAATAATATTCCTGGGGAAATGTCTCAGCTTTGTATATGTTTGGGGGAGAGAGGCATAGTTTTAATATGACAGAAAAGATACTGATTTCATGTTCTAATTGTGTTTTACTGAAAAAATAAAACCAACAAAGAAAAGAAGTATGAGATTAAGGTACAGGAAAAACAAATATCCTTTTAAAGCCTACTACTAGGTACCAGGTAGATTTAATTATAATCATCTATAAAAGAAGCTTTTGTTCTCATTTCAACAATAAAGTAATAAAAAAAAGTTTCAAATATTAATACCCCCTCAGAGTAGCATAGCTTGTAAGTGAAGACATCAGAAAGTGAATTTAAGTCTGGTCCATATTAGTTCTTTTTTTTACATTGTCATATCTTACTTATTGAGTTAATGACTCTTTTGTTCAATTATTAAATACTGGGAGAGTCAAGATTTCTAGTATCTAGTAGAGATATAATTTATTGGTGGATTATGGAGAGTAACATGGATTACAATAAAAACTAGAGTGAATTATTTAAAATGAAAGTTTTTGAATTGGAGTTTGAAGGAAGTATGGAATTTTAATGGAGAGGGGTATAACTTTGTTAAGTCAGTGGCTCCGTATTAAGTAGTCATGCATAACAAACTATAAGATTTTTGTTTAGGGAATGGAAAGTAGTATTTCCAGAGTGTAGACTGATGAATGAATAGGCGTAAGCTCAATTTTGGAACCTGGATATCTATGCAAGGAGGTTGGGACTTCATCCAGTAGATTACAGGGTTACATCAAAATGTCTTGATCACAGAATTGTCATGGTCAGAATAGCCCTTTCTCCCTTTTTTTTTGGTCTTTCAAAAATGCAATGCTTTCACCTCTATTGTAGAGTTTGTTCTAGGTCATGTGAATACAGATGTTAATGAAATGGCACATCCTCTCTGACAACTCCAGTGAGACAGATTAATGATGTTATGAAGGAGAGCTCAAAAAAGGCAGTATCATAGATATGTTTGGAAATTATTTTCATTTTTTCAAGATATTCATGATCCTAAATTATGCCATTGAGAATGGAAATGGAAAAGTAATTTGAATTTTAGGAAATATTTATTATAGAACTTTAAATATAGATGTTGGAACAGAGAGAAAGGTAGGAATTAATGAAACTTGCTCTGGTTTAGGAACTTAGGATACTATTATTCAAGGGGAATAGGAGAGGAACAATTTTGGGGCTATATTTCAGTTTCATTTTATCACATATTATGGCAGGCCAATATTAAGTCATCCTGCCAAACTTACTTTAGCCTGTGTTAGAAATTTAGTTACTATATATAGGCAAGAGTCCAAGTGGTTGACATAGCTGTGAAAATTGTTCCATAGAAGTGATTTTTGATGTGTAGCAACGGTTGACATAATAAAAAGGGAGAATGAAAAAACTCATGAGCAGATTTCTAAGGAATGCTCTTGACTGAGGATGAGCAGAGTTATAGAAAGAACAACTGGAGAAAGAGAGAAATGATGATTGCAAAGATTGTTTGAGTCATGGAAATTGAGTAAGAATGTAAATTCCAAAGTTTCAGTGTGGTAAATAGACAAGAAATAGGAGACCATTTGGACTTAGAGATCGGAAATTCATTTGTGAGATTTAGGGAGCTGTTGATGGCAGATTATTTAACACAACTACTGATGGATATTGAATAAAACCTCCAGTGGGTTTTAGTAAGATCCTTGTTGGGTAGCATTTGAGGTCCTTCCTGGGTGAGGTAAATTATATTATAAAACAAGGTAAGTTATATTATAAAACATTCAATCTGTGCACTGTGTAGTGTTAATTTTCTTAGTAATGCTTGGTGGAAAGGAATGGAACAAAGAAATAAGGTTATTAGAAATTAAATGTATGATTCTTTTATACTTTATACCTATAGGCATTATTTGATGAAAATTGGCATCAGATTCGTCTTTTAGTAACAGAAGGGGATGTTACTTTATATATTGATGATCAACAAATTGAAAACAAGGCCTTACATCCAGCTTTAGGGATCTTTATCAGCGGGCAAACACAAATCGGAAAATACTCTGGGAAAGAAGAAACTGTTCAGGTGGATAAATAATGATTTTCTTTTTTCATTCTCTGAAATGGAGTTTTTGTTTTCCTTTGTGATAGCATTTACTGATTTTCACTGTACTAACTTAACTGTGTTTTTTCTTTAAGATACTTAATAAGAATGCATTATCTTCATTAATAAAATTGAGGCTAAATTAAATGATACATGTGAAAAAAAGAATATGATTAGATTCAGAGTAGGATTCTTAGCAGCTATGAGGATAAAATCAGATTAACACACTGCATGGTTCATCATAAGAAACGTGATATTTTTGCTTTCTCTTTTAACAATTAGTTCTTGAAAAACCTGTACTTGAAAAATATTTCTTTCCTTCTTTGTTTCTATTAATGCAAAGACTGTGACATTCATAGTGCTATGCTAAAACCCGTTGTGGCAACAGGGAGGGCCCAAAGACTGTGACATTCAAATGTATGCTTTCATACATAGTCACTATATGTTAATATCACATGTCAACTTGTGTAAATAAATGGTAACAGATGCTGAGGCCCTGCTCATCACACACCACTCCATTCCAGCAACTAAATCTCTGAAACTACAATGGCTTTTTGCACTCACCCTGAACAATCAGGAATGTAGTAGAGACTTAGGGTAATCACAGAGAGCCTGGGAAAACTTTTCAGTGATGTGAAATGATCTCTAGTAGAGTTTTTACACTGCAGATACTTCAGTGGTTTTCTGAAGGAAATCAGAGATTTCTTTTTGGTTCTAGAGAATGTTACTAAATTTCAGGAGTTAGGTATATGTTTATACCTCTGTACTTTATGACAGGAATTAAAATTTTACCTTTTTTTTACTGCAATCTAAACTTTACATGATTGCTAACTGTAGAGACTGTATATCTGAGTTGGTCTTATAAAAAATTTGTGCTTTAGAATTTTTTTTTCATTTTTGCATAGAATAATTGGGGTGTAGGCTAGAGGTGTATGTGGGGGTTGGTGGTGAGAGGATACACTAGAGACAGCAGAGAGAAGAACATCTGCTTTTACAGAAATTCATTGCTGAGGGCAGCAGTCGTGAGAGAGGAGAGGTCTCCTGTACATTGTGGGTATCTCCCTGGCTTGGGATCAAACCCAGGCCATAGGGGTGATAAATGCTGAAACTTAAACTGTAGGCCACCAGGGTTCCCTGTGCATCAACTTTAACCTGTTGGGTTTCTCTTCTTAGTTTGATGTCCAAAAGTTGCGCATCTACTGTGATCCAGAACAGAACAACAGGGAGACAGCATGTGAGATTCCTGGATTTGTGAGTAGAACTGATTATTTTTCCAAGTGTTGCCTGAGTATTAATAGAAAAATAAGTAAAAAAATCAGATGATATGTGAGCCTTGCATTAAAATAGTTAATTTTTAATATTTTTAATGAAAGCAAAGAACTATTATGAGTTCCATAACTGAAATACAACTATAGTGTCATTGTGTACATTTGAGTGATAGACTCCAAGGTAATATTTTTCCCCACATCTCTGACTGTGACTTTCCCTATTATAAATTTGGCAATGGCATGCATAAATAGGAAATAAGTTAGAATGGAGGGAGACAAATATTTTATTTTTTCTGGTTTTGATATTTTGTACATCTTTCACTCAACCAATGAAGTAGCTGTAAATTAAGAAAATAATTTAGACATTTAGTTAAAAGCATGTTTTAAAACAGATTTGTTGTTGATTTTCTTTCAGAATGGTGAGGTAGGCATGGATGTTATTATTCTTAAGGTAATATATGCCTTGTGGAAATGTTTCATTTACTTCCATCAACTGTAAGTATATTAGACAAATAGAACCCATATTTATGTGACTTAAATGTAATTGGCATTCAATTATGATTTGAAATTTCTTTTTAAAATAAAAACTGGAAAGCAAGGTTAGGCTGTCTTTACTGTTTCAACAAACCTACAGACAAATACACACACACACACACACACACATATATATATGTGCATAAACATATGTGTATTTTCATGTTTATTATTTATTTGCAATTTGTCTTTGTAGTGCCTCAATGGTCCAAGTGATGTAGGTTCAACTCCAGCTCCCTGTATTTGTCCTCCCGGAAAACCAGGACAACAAGGTCCCAAAGTGAGTAATATACCATACTTGGCTATTTTTGTTAAAACATAGAATGTGAACTAAACAGCATCTCACCATTCTTAATCACCTTTGACACTATTGTGTTATTTCTACCTAATTCCTTAGGACACTCTGAAACTTGAATTTTACTGATTTTCAAAAGTATTGATTCTGATAACTAATCTTAGAACCTAAAAATGATAACCCCTAGCCCACAGTCAGGTAGAGTTACTAATTTGTCTGTTTTCTTCCCAAATATTGCTGCTAGACTATAAGAACTGTACTTCTCTGCAACCTGTAAAAAGTAAAAACACATTTGTTTTAATATTTTAGATGTCTAAATTCTTAAGTTAATCAAGATAACTTTCAGATTAAAAAATGAAGTGAAAAAATTGGGGTGAATTAAGTAAAATACATATAGACCCAAGCACAAGACAGACATATACAAGGAACTCTTATGAATGGTATTGTTCTGGAATAGCGTATAACCTGAGCTCAACCCAAGCAATTTAGACTAAGGATACAGTTCAAATATTACTGTGAATTGGGTACTGAAAAATTCTCCTTGTCCGTGATCTACAAAAGGTGAACCTTGAATTCCTGAGCAGGCTACACTGTTGTGAGCAAATACTGTAAGAGTTTGGGAAACTTAGGTAAGAGACATTCTTGGTTTTTTTTCAAGGTCAGGGTAAAAGGAAAGTTATACTGAATGTTCAAACTGAAAAATACTAGGCAGAATCTCTCTAGTCATGCTGTCATCAATTATGTCCTCAGTAAGGGTTGAGTGTATATTGTGTGGAATATGAGGCAAACTTCTCTGATCTCAAAATTTTTTAAGTAATTATATATTCAGAACTGGGGTACAGGCCAGAGGTGTTGGAGGTGAGAGGATTCACCAGAGACAGAGTGGGGAGCACAACAGACTGAAATACAAGGCTGAGGGGAGTAGTGGGCGGGTCAGAAGAGGACTGCCACACCATGAAGGACACCTCCCTAGACGGGGATCAAACTTGTGTTGCAGTGGTTTTGATAGCTTTTTAGTGCTATGTTTTAACTTGTTGTACCCCAGGGAGGGCCCTGATCTTACTAGTTTTTCTGAAGGCGATGAACAGGATGAGTAGCTCCTTTCTTTTTTTTCTTCTAAATTTCATTTATTTGTTTATTTTTAATGTTCCAAACACGGTTTTATACCCTTTTGAATCTCAAAAGTTTATTTTTATTTTTAGAATAAAAGAAAAAGGGAAAAATAACTTTTCTATAAAGATTTATTTATTTATTCATGCATAATTGGGGTACAGGCCAGAGGTACAGGGACAGTGAGAAGCTTCACCAGAGACAGAATGGGGAGCAGAACAGGCAGATGGCCGAAGTACACTGCTGAGGGGAGCAGTGGGCATGTCAGGAGAGGTCTGCCATGCCATGTGGGTCACCCCCCCACATGGCTGGGGACCAAACTCATGCTGAAGTGTCTCAGCTTGCTTCATAGTGCTATGCTTTATCCTGTTGTGGGACCAGGGAGGGCCCAAATATGACTGATTTTTAATGTCATGAGTTTGATGTTTAATTCTAAGAAGCGGCAAATATATTCCTGGAGTTCAGTTAATTATGCAATAATAACTTAGAGGGAATATATCATTTTAGTTGTATTCATATATGCATATAAGTATGTTTATGGGGAACCACATACTTCTTTGTAACCAATAATGGTTAATGTAACACAATGTCCTGAATATATTTCTGTGCTATTATATATGGATCACTTAAGTAATCATGTAAATTTATACAAGTTATGGTATTCCTTAGACACTGTCTGAGGTATTAAAATGTTAAATGGTTTGTCTATTAAAGATAAATCTCAGAGGGTGGGGACAGAGCTTAGTGGACTATGGTGAAGGCCTGTGGGTGACCACACCTGAGAGAGGAAATATTGTATTGTCAAAACACTAGCAAGGATAATAGCAGAGGTACTTCAGTAACAATTTTTAAAAATCTGTTCATTTAATTTTACTTAAAAAAACAGTACAGAAAAAATGGCTAAATTGGAAGAAAATATGATTCTGTACCTGAAAGGAATGGTTTGTGTATTAATAATCTACTACTTGAAGTAATCAAATGTAATCAAAGTTAAATATGACTTGTATTTTGCATGACTTGGAATTTTCTTAATATTTCTGTCACTACAATGAAATTTCTAGATTCTGGATTGAAGGTGAGACACAATTTAATCATTTGTATATTTTGAGGACATTTCTCCCCATTTTCATGTGATTATACACGAGTTACTTCAAATCTAGCTATTAAAATCAGAAAAGAAATATAATTTAAGAAATAAAAAAGATCAACCCGTCCCTCCCTGGTGGCGCAGCGGGTTAAAGCACTGCACTGAGAAGCTAAAGCCACTTCCGCATGAGTTCGATTCCTGCCTGCCCCGGAGGTGACCACATGGCGCGGCAGACCTCTCCTGACCCGCCCGCTGCTCCCCTCAGCAGTGTACTTCGTAGATCTGCCTGTTCTGCTCCCCGCTCTGTCTCTGGTGAAGTCTCTCACCGCCCCTGAGCCTGTGGCCTGTACCCCAGTTCTGTATGTACAAATAAATAAATCTTAAAAAAAAAAAAAAAAAAGATCAACCCAAAATTTCATTTAAAACAAAGCAGTTTTATTTGGCTCAGAATTTGAGCTCAGTACATAATAAACTGTTTTGAGATTGCATTTAGAAAAGTGAGCGCAAGTATTTTTAAATAACCATATGCTATTCAGGATGCCTTAATACAGGAGGAATATCTCTGCAGTATTCCTAGGAGAAAATATGTAAGTCAACTTGGTATGACCTCCCAAAGGACTTAAAAATATTTATACAGTTTATTCAACATGGAATATGATATATAAAAAGATTTGATCCAAAGATACATGTGGAAATCAGAGTCCCTTAATATGTGACACCTCACTGTCCAGGCGCTTTTCTGATTCTCAGTGAGGTTCTACTACCCATGTATCCCTAAGGAGCTGTCCATTTTGGAGAGACACCAGATGCCTCTGATGTTTTCTGATTCTAATTAGTGGTTCATGAGTTGTCTTGTAGTGGTACCAAATTTTACTCACATGTTTCTGCAGTATATTTTTAGCACACCCTTTATCGTATCTGTCAAAGCCTCTGATTTCCAATATTTCCAAGTTGTATGTGTTCTTCATCTTTGTCTTCTTTTCTTAGTCATATTCTAGTCCCATTGCCACCTACGACTTTAAGTGAAATTGCAGTTTTCCACCCATCTTCAAATTGGCATGCTTTCTTGAAATGTTTTCCATTTTCTTCAGAACATCTGGCAGGAGGACAGGAACACACACACACTCTTCCATCCTTGGGCTCTTTCCCTTGGAGGTAGTTCCTTATACAGATTAGAGACCTGTATGTGATAAACAGAATCCTTAGCAACACACTAAGTTGTACTTTCTTTAGAGAATATTCTGGCTTAGAAAATTGATAGGGTTTTAATTTGTTCTACAGAATTTGGACTGAAACGGTGATACTACTATAGAACCAAATGACTTATTGTTCATTTTTGTTGGATGCTCTCTGGAATGTTTCACAGATATCAGCTACCTGGAAAGAACAGATCTAGCCTAACCAGGAATAGAGTTTGGGATGCTCAATGTTTAGTCATGAGACAAACACAGTGAATAAATGAGTATGAAAGCACTTAACAGTGAAAGTTAATACAGTATGATTTTTCCTTTGTTAGCTCAGCGCCTAGTTTACTGCTTAGTTGTCGATTTTTTTTATTTAAAGGTTAATGAAATCTCTGAAAAAAAAAAAAAAAGATTCACCCTTCTTCCCAGTTCTGCTATATGAAGTGCCTTTGTTATATATGAAAGATTTTTTTCAACCCCAAAATAAGAAGCCCCTTTCAAATGACTTGTATGTGCAAATAGCTTCCTTCCTTTATCATTTGTGGAGATAAACTCCCAACATTTGATCTACCCTTAAATGATACCACTATTAATTTAGAAGTAGAAATAAAACATTTTTTTTAGGTAGAAACAATTTTAATAACTTTTTTTGCTCTTTCTAGATCCATATCCCTATTGATTGCCATTGTTTCAACACAATAATTCTACTGTTAGCTATTTCGAACTATCAGTGTAACTGCTATCTATAATATAAAAGCCTTTGGAAAATCTCAGGACCTCTCAGCACTTACATTTTATGTTAATTTTCCTAGACTAAGTAGATTATTCTAGCATAAGAGAGTGGCTATTTGAGTTTTGAGGAAAAGAAGAGATTGACTTTACAATCTGGAAGGTTAGATATTATATCGCAATATTGTGGAGGCTTGAGATGGCATGAAGGTGCAAGGATTTTGTGAAGAGGACTTAAAAATATGCTTTGAGCATAAGAATTACATAGACATTTGTTTTCAATGAGCAGCTTAAAATCTTACTTTAATCATTCTTATTTACATTACTCAATGAGTTGAGAGGACATATTCAGAGGTGGTTTAGTTTCATCCATGAAATTTCCAATCCTGTCAACAACCCAGAAAATAGTGTGGCACAAATTCAGCTTAACATAAATAAGTATTGCTTTTCAGCTGAATACATATTTTTTAAAAATTCAGAATGTATAAATGGTTCAATTAGAGTATACTGTATTGGGAATTTTGAAATGAATGTAAAGTACTGTCATGTGTCTAATGTGTTTGGAAATATTTTTCCATGTTAAAGTTGTTAGCCATCCCCATGTTTAGTTCTGATGAATGTAGCACTTAACATCAGCTGGGATATGGTAGTATTTAATAGCATAGATTCATGACTAAATTGGTAATTTTTGATTCCCATCCACCAGAATAAGCACCTTGGTCAAGTTATCTTACCATCCAGTGTCTCAATTTTCCTATATATAAAATAGGAAGAATGGAAGTACCTGCTTCATAGGTACTAATTAACTTAATACATATAAATAAATATCTTAAAGCAGTGCTGACCATATAATAATCAAGGTTGGATACTAGCTTTTACTATAGTAGTAAACATTTTTTTTTAATCTAACTTTTTCTCCAAAACTGGTTTGGGGTTTACCTTTTTCTTCCATTGTACAGAGGCATAACCAAATCTACCTGTTTTTGCAAATACATCAGGATGGCATTAGTCAAAATAACCAACAAAATCTACCAGCAACAATGAAACCTGTAAAAGCGATTATTTTCCTTCTTGGGCTTATTGACCACTGTTACGGTCCTTGTACAATAACATAGTATTTATAATGTGGTGATTTCTTTTTCCCTTGAAGCTTAGTTTGATTCATTTAAGATGTTTTTAAGTATGTTTTGTACTTTTACAGAGTCTGAAAACAGAAATCCCTTACTTCTTATGCCAAAGCTTTATTTTAGCCCCACATAATAAAGGTTAACTACTCTCAGATCTTTTTGAAATCTTAGATTTTTGTTGAGAGTTAATATCCTGCAAGTAACTGAAATTTTTCGTTGAGGGTTAATATCCTGTAAGTAAATGAATCATTGCCAGGTGATTTACTTTAAAATAATTCAATTCAAAAATAATTATAGCCCTACTTGATGTGCAGCACTGTCAAAAAAAAGAACAAGAGGCCCTCCTTGGTGGTGTAGCGGATTAAAACACAGCACTGAGAATCTAGGGCCACTTCTAGAGTTCGATTCCCGCCTGCCCCGTAGGTGACCACATGGCGTGGCAGACCTCTCCTGACCCACCCACTGCTCCCCTCAGCAGTGTACTTCATCAATCTGCCTATTCTGTTCCCCACTTTGTGTCTGGTGAAGCCTCTCACCACCCCTGAGCCTCTGGCCTATACCCCAGTTCTATATGCACAAATAAATAAATCTTAAAACAAACAAACAAAAAAACAAACAACAACAAAAAAAAAAAACAAGAAAATATGGATCATTTTCTCAAGGAGTCTCAAATTCAAATGACAAATTAACACTAAGCAAGGGCAACTTTAGAAAACAGTAGTTATGAAATGTAAATGGTGATGTAGAAGCTGCTATAGCATTTAAATAGATGAAGTCATGAGAAGAAAAAAGAGTAATGAGAAAATAAGCACAGTGATAGAAATTTTGTCATATTGAATATTACATGGTAAAGGAAGAAAATTTCTTCTGAGAAGAAAAAAAAGATAAAATTTGTTGAAAAGCAGCAGTAATAAGTCCAATCTGTACATGAATAAAGGATGGCAGGATTCTCTAAGTTTAGATCCTCTAAAATAAGAATAAAAACCCTATGGCTCCTTGGAGACAAAGAATGTTGTTCCCTAATGCCCAGCTCACACTGTAAGTCTGTGGATTAAAATTACAAATTACACTTCCTCAGCAAGACATTTCATGTGTCAGCACCACTTTTCTCCCTGGATTGATAGTTACTCTTTATCTCTTTTTAAAATGATATTTCCCTTCTTCTCAGCCTTTCCTCATGCTAACCCTCTTGAGGCAGCTCCTGAGTGAAAAACCTATCCCTTCTTTATTGACTCCTTAATAGAGCTCACTAAGTTCTTTCCATTTTTCCTGTTATGTTTCAGGAACAAACCTCCCTAGCCAGTAATCTGAAGTAGTACTTCAGACCAGCAAATTTGGCTCTGAAAATACCCTTAGCAATAGTGTTTAGTTAACATGTAATAACAGTGATCAATCTTAGGTGAATGATCTCTTGATGAAAATAATGAAAAATTATTCAGTTGAAATCAGTTTCCTCTATGCAGTACTTTATTGCTATTGACTAGTGAGATCTCATGGTTTTCACCAAGATACCCTAAGTGGACCAATAGACTCAGAGATAAATGAATGTGATACCATTTTTGAGGAGTTCCTTAGAATTAAGTTATAAAGCATAATCCCCTCACAAAAGAAATATTGCTCTTATTATTTTTCATAGGCAGGGTCCATCTGAAATGTCTGTGCTGGCCACAGAGCAACATGTAAAAGTCCTGTAGAATGTGCTTGGGCTCGTTGCCATGTTTTATGGAATAATGCTTTTTGAAGAGCTCTGGTTAGTGAGAAGTTGTTTTCACCTTTTCTTAGGTAACACATTGTATTCAGGAACAAAGGGGTTTGGGGAGGATTGCTTAATCTACATTTTTTTCTTATAAAAATACTGAAAGTTTTAAAATTCTAATGTTGCATTAGAATTAAATTCTAAATATAGGCTGAGGCACATTAACTGCATTGAAAGAAATAACTGTTGTATAGTTTTAAACTTGTATCCTATGTGTAAATTGGCCTATGGATTTTTTTTTAATAATTGATAATTACAGCTGAGTTATTACATCACAGGTCACCAGGGACTTCTGTTTGTTTATATTTAAATATACAAAAAATATAAACTGACGGAATTCACTTTGAACCTCATGGGACTCTGACTGCATCACTCTGGTTGTCTCTTCTGTACTGAGAATTTTTTTTCTTCTTTAGGGTGATCCTGGACAGCCTGGGAACCCTGGCTACCCTGGACAACCTGGTCAAGATGGTAAGCCTGTGAGTACTGAAAGCTTAGTCATCTCCAGTACTGGGATTACAGTGTTAACGGGAAAGTTGCACCAGGATGAGTTAAACAGACAAGAAAGATATTCAGGACTGTTGTATTAGCAGAAAGTAACTGAAGCTTCATCAACTAAAACAAAGGGAAAGAAGGTTTGGAAGTGCTAGATGGAGCCAGTGGAAATACTGAAGTACTTCGGCAGGGAAGTTGACTGATAGGATGGAGCAAATAAAAATTTTCCAGGATTTTGCCAATTTTTTTTTTCTGTGATTAGGTGATCTTTTTGCTAACTGGTACTCACCAAAGTTAGAGTCCTGCCTACCCACAAAGACTGGAAGATGGAATGTTACCTTCCTTTATGGTTGCATTGCTAAGGGATCTAAGGGATGGCTCCCAAGTCCTTGAGAACAATTTATCTGGGTTGTAAATCTGGGAAGAAACTTATTAAATTATTTGTATCTCAGTTGGGTAGAAAAATAATTTATAATTACTAGTTTTCTGAAATAAATTTTCTTTTTTTAAAAATTTATTTATTATGCATACATACCAAACTGGGGTAAAGCCAGTGGTACAAGGGTGGTAAGAGGAATCACCAGAGACAGAGTGGGGAGCAGAACAGGCAGATTGATAAAGTACACTGCTGAGGGGAGCAGCGGGCAAGGCAGGAGAGGTCTGCTGAGCCAAGTGGGTCACCTCTGGGGTGGGGACTGAACTTGCACTAAAGGGGCTTCAGCTAGCTGTGCTTTAACACACTGTGCCACCAGGGAGGGCCCTGAAATAAATTTTCTAAGAAAGAAGTCAGAGGCCTAGAGTCAGGAAAAAGCCTGTCTAAAGGTTAGCTAATACTTTCCTGAAAATGGAGATGCCTCATGAAGGTGTTTTCTCAGGGTGAGGCTTATCTATTGTATTCCTTATTAGGTGATCCCCATGATTTCCCAAAATGCTGCCAACTTGGCTGCATAATTTGTGATAGTGGGGAACTGTGCTTACAATGTACACTGAAGAAAGCAAAGTGAAATGCTTCAGCTGAGTGAAATGCTAAGTTACTCAGTCAGTAGAATCAATATTGCAGTTGCTTTTTAGAAGCACTTAGTTCAGAAGGGGTACATTTCTGCTACATTTAATGCTACATTTTAAAAATAGTTGAGTGAGATCTCACTATGAATGAATACCTGATTTCAGAAATTCTTATTATTTTTTCTTTTTAGTGTAAGTTTTCAGGTTAAAAATCTTTTTAAAAGTGATATTATTTTGCTAAAACATATATGCACTGGAATATATTAAAAATACTAAAGAAAACACAATAATTTCTAAGGTATGTGGTTCAAGAGAACTTAAGGGAACACTTAGGACTTATGGAAACATTCAACAAATACACTTTATAGCACTTTAGGCAAATATTTACAGATCAGTCCTCTATCAAATTACTTATAACCATGATAGGTATTAGTAATTAGCATTTGAATGTTAAAAGAAAATTGTTACCAAAACAAGGTATTAGATTTTTATTATGATGAAAAGTAGTTTTCCTCTAATAAGATATTAATTCTTGCTATCAAGGAGTGGGAAGGCTTATCTTATGAGTCAAAAATATTCAAGGAATAAAAGAACCATAACTATTAGGATAGAAGAGGAACTTGTCAGGTCATTGAGAGAGATTCTCTGATAAATTTAACACAGTCAACTGTTGAAGAAGAAATGATATGCTCTGGCATTTACTAAGAGCATTGCATAGAAAGAAGTCACATACGTAGAGTAGCCCCTCTAGAGAGAGATTCTTGAGTGTGAATAGGTAACAAAGTGGTGATAGCTGAAGCTTCAGAGAGCTGAGGGCTGTGTGTGACTGGAACAGTGTGCTCAATTGATCCAATGGGTTTCATTCCAGCAATGATAGCAATCTATTTGTGAATTTTGAGAAAGGACTTAATTTGATTTGCCTGACATTCTTGAAAGTTTAAATGTGAATATTAAGTAGAGAGTTGGTTTTTTGGGGTATGGGGATCACACAGGAGGTTATTTCAAGTGTGAAGAATGGCTTGTACCTAGGGTGATATTATGGTGGAACAGAGGAAAAATAACCAGCTTCTAGATTATTTTTTAGTGTAAAGTGGACCAGATTTGCTTGTAAGTTATAGATGAAGCATAAGAGAAATAGTCAAGGGATACTCAGAGAATATTAGTTTGACAAATGGATGATTTCTGGTACCACTTACTGAGCTGGACAAACTGAGAAAATTTAAGTTTTTGTTTGGAAAATCAAGAATGTGTTTTTGGACATGTTAGAGGTATCACTAAGAGGTTGGATATAAGAATCTTTAAGTCAGGAATAGGTTTGAGAATGAAAACACATAGGTGCTCTAGCATGTAGGCATAGCCAAAACCACACCAGAGTGGATGAAATCATTTGAAGGGAGTAAGTAGGGAGATAGGAAGGGGGCTGAGGACTCAGCTTAGTTTTCTCTTACAGAAGGAGGTATGAGGACAGAAAGTGGGAAAGAGTGATTAAGTAGGAGCTACATTCAGAGAATATTGCACCCCCAAAGCCAATGGAGGAAAGCATTTGAAGAAGGGAGTGGTCAGAGTGTGTCATTGTGCTCTGAGACTGGGAAAAATAGGTCTGTGTATAGGTGGATGGATTTGCTTTAAGGAGGTCATTGAGGGTCTTGATATGGATGGTGAATATAAAAGCTGGTTGCAATAGGCTTGGAAGGTGGGAGAGAAAACAGTGACAGTAAATGTAGATGTTTCTTCTGAAGGATGTAATAGGGAGCAGAGAAATGAAGAATGGGGGGAGGATTTGAGATATAAACGGTTGTTTTTATTGGAAGGGGGATGTTGTAGCATTTTTTTTTTTAATGAAAATGAGTCAGAGGTGGAAAATTGGTGATTTGGGAGATAGAGGATATTTGCTGGAAGAAAAATCTTAGTAGGTGGGAGAACATTGTTTCCAATGTTTGGTCTCAGTGACAGTAAGGAAAATTAAAAGTTATATGGGATAGTCTTAGGCCAGCAAGTACAGAAACATTTAGGTGGTATTTTTATAAGTAAAGGGATGAGAAAATGATCATATTGCCATATTTAAATTGAATAAATGAATAGATTC